TCCTTCCTTCCTTCCTTCCTTCCTTCCTTCCTTCCTTTTTTTCTCATCACCATCCTAGCCTGGTGTTCTGTCTCTCCCATTCCTGGCCCCAGACACAACCAAAAAGATGAACTAACCACAGAAACTTCCCAGGGCTGCCTTCTTGAAGAGTTATTCTGCCGGCTGTTGGTTGACAGCTAACTCCCAGGAGAGAGAGTGGTTGAGCTCTCCCTGGAAAGGGAGCAGAAGTGGCATTTTGGCCATAGGCGCCACGCAGGGGCAGAGGAGAACGGCTGGTGGGGTAGAAATGGGAGCAGAACAGCATGCTTGAAAGCTGTCAGTAAAACCAGAAGACTGCTACGTTGTTTCATGTCTTCCTCTCTTTTTAATGAAGTGGCCCTCTGGTTGTGCCCAGATCGAGCCACAGCTGTTGCTTCGGTTGCCTGATGCTCTTGGGTCGTTTCCAAGAACCGGTGCATCTGTTCAAGGACGAGACTGTCAACACGCTGTACCTCCCCGTCAGCAACTCGTGTCCTTCCCCACCCCTGATATTGTGCAGCAAGACCGTCCTCCGCTCATGCAGCTGTTGGGGAGCTCTGTTTCCTCAACAGATGGTACACCCACAGAGAATCCCAAATCGTTTCACCCTCTATCAGGGAGCGTAGTCAGAAGTTAGAGCAGCATTTCTCAACCTTGGCCGCTTGAAGATGTGTGGATTTCAACTCCCAGAATTCCCCAGCTAGCATGGCTGGCTGGGGAATTCTGGGAGTTGAAGTCCACACATCTTCAAGCGGCCAAGGTTGAGAAACACTGGATTAGAGATACTCAAACCATCCCAATTTGCTTTCCCTTATTTTTGCCCTCAAAATGTCCAGTTGCCCCAAAATGCTGTTTGCTGGCCGTCAGAACGGGAGCTGACCTAACAGAGCCTTTATTTACCTTTGCCACCTTCGCTGCTTCCTTGTTGGTCTCCTGAGCTAATTCAAAATCCTGGCTTTGCCTCTAAAGCTCAGGGTGGAGAACCTGTGGCCTGCCAGCATCCTTGACCATTCATCATCCCGGCTGGTGCTGTCGGCAGTTTTCATCTTGCGACATCTCCTTGGGTTTCATTTCCTTAATATACTTAAGTCCCTGTCCGAAATACTGCTTTTTCCCCCTGCTCTGGTGTGGGGCACAAGACAGCGGGTTCTTTCAATTATTGTTGCACAGTGCTTTCTCCAGGTAAGCCCGCCTGGCCCCGTTGCTGATTCTTTTGGTCAGCCAGTGAAGGAGACTTTGGAGAAGTCTCAGTCTGTGTTGCTCTCATAGCTGATGCTTTGTGGGGACGTCCTTCGAAACTCTTGTACTTCTAACAGTTTGGCCGTTAACCAGGAGCCACTGCCACTTCTGCTGAAGAGAGAAACCCAGCGAAGTGATTTGTTAAACCTGAACAAAACCCACATACCTTTCCTGACCGTTCCTTTCTCTTTCCAGGAGTTGGGATCCCCGCCCGAAGTACAAGACTGGGCCCTGGCCTGGAGGATCCTGCGGATAATCTTCTGCAACGCATGACTCACCATGAGAGCCAGGGGGCGTTGGACAAGACCCTCGAGTCTGTCATGGCTAACGCGCCTGCCCTGCCCTTGGACAGCCCCAGCCGAAGCCCCAGCCGGGAGAAGTCGAGCGAGCTCTTGATCCCCGGGAATTCAGGCAGCGAGGGCATCTCGCTCCTTTCCAGCCGGTTGTCGAGCGGCTGCTCCCCACACCACCTCAAGAGAAGCATGGTGGAAGCCATGCAGTGCCAGGCCCGGAAGATGTGCAATTATGACAAGATCTTGGCCACCAAGAAGAACCTGGACCACGTGAACAAGATCCTCAAGGCCAAGAAGCTACAGCGACAATCACGGACTGGCAATAACTTTGTGAAGCGCCGACCCGGGAGGCCCAGGAAGTACCCCTCGACGCCAGCGGTCTCTGCGCACGTGCTCCAGGCCAGCCGATTCATCAGCCCGGACCTCAGCAGCCGGGAACCGGGCTGCCTCCTCCACCGGGGCCCCGACACCGTCACTGATGCCATCGAGTCGGTGGTTCAGGGCGTGAACGTGAAAGGCTCAAAGAGGAAGAGGTGGTTGGAAGAGGAGCAGGCCCGGAAGAAGCAGAAGCCTCTCCCCACCGATGAGCAGGAGAGCCATAAAAGGTGAGCCCTTTGGAGGCGAGGGCTGCCTGGGAATAGAACTGTGGGAGGCTGGGAGGAAAGAGTTTGTAGACCTCATGACCATACCCAGTGGCCTTTCCCAGTACCAATGGATGGGTCCCTTTTAAGTGGAAATGCCCGCAGTGCAGAGCAGCCGTTTGACTCCTTCTGATTGGGCTTTTTTTTGTCATGCGTGGGCAGCTTTCTAGACGGGTTGGATTGTAGCATCCTCTCTCTCTCTCTCTCTCTCTCTCTCTCTCTCTCTCT